AGAAGATGCAGTTTATCGGAGACAAGATAAGAAGTCGAAGACCATTGACCTAAAAAGGAACGGGAAGCGGAAGGCCGAGGACGAGAAGAGGGTAGAACAGTGACTTAAATTTTATGAACTCGTTGACATTCGTAGCTGATCAACGGCGTAATACTTTCCATTTTCTTTCATAGGAAGCCCGAAGGAGAACGGAAACTCAACCCTGCCAGATAAAGCTCTGAAGAATTTCGCCCGAGGAACTTCTACCCCTTCACAATGGCACGCAAACAATGTTCCGTTGTCGAAACGGCCGAATATTAAGCGAGTCGAATATTCTGTGGTGAATATTATATAATAACTTCAATAAAACCTAAGAACCTCTCGCGAGCAAAAATAAAATAGTCACACGAGATACTTCCACGAATAAATTACACTTTCACCATAAAACACGATACTATGGAGGGGTAAAATAAAGAACATAAAATTTATTCATTTATCCCTTTAGTAAAACATGTAGAGGACACTATTGAATACTCAACAGATTCACATCTCCTTTGCAAAATTTAAATACCGAATACAAACTATATTTTACAGTCTTGAACGCTGGTAATAGATATTATATGTACAATGAGAAATGTTATGTACTTATATGAATTACCTAATACATATACCTAATACGAAAAATGTAAAAACCCTCAACAGAATTAATATGAAGTAAGTTGCAATACAAAATATCTTCAATGAACTAAATGTTAATGCTATTGTTGAACTTCCATCTAAAAAAATATTTATTATTCGATATTATTTATTATTAAAATATTTCTCACATTGACTGTAGTGTGAGTTAGAAAATTATGAAAATTGACTAATTAGGAAAATAGAAATTTTCCATTTTTTTTCTCAAATAAATAATATTACAACCTAATCTTCTTCGAGATTAATATTCGAGAGTAATTTCTCTGTGTGTATTATTGATGAAAGTATTATTTATTATGAATTAATATTACAAATAGAGTCAATTCGAAAATTGGAGACAACAAAGCCAAATTTTTGAGAGGAATCAAGTAAAAAATTAGTCAAGAATACGTCTATCTGACACAGGACATTCGATATCCTCACAGTCTGTACGTTAAAGTACAAATTCGACGTAACAAAAATAGAAAAGTAGCATAAAAGAAATCCGACGAATTGTCCACTGTCCTAATCAAATACGCTTTCCGGTATCTCCGTTGGCGAAGTGGAACGAAACGAATTCACGATCGGCGTGAAAACGGCGAGTGAAAGGTAGCGACGGGCCGGAAGAAAGGGAATGAAAACCGACGGCGGGATTTTTATCCTCTTAAAGCTTTCGACAAGCGTTTTTTCCCTTTCTCTGGAAACACGAGAGCCCCCGTAGGGACGAGACGCGAGGATTCCGCGAAGCGGCGACAAACGACCGGCCTCTGCTGCTGCAGACCCTGTCCCGTTGCTCCGTACGCGATCGAAAATAAAGCCGTTTAGGGCAAAGCGGTTTAAGGGAGCGTCGGAGAGTAACCCTGTTGCAAACGGCGCCGGATTAAACGCGTAAGCCGTGTCAAAGGCATCCGGAGAAGCCGACGCGCGTTCCCTGTCGCGTTATCTGTCTGCTCGATTGTTAAATGCCGGCAGGGTGTGTAACTGGCCGCGATGGAATCGATACAGGCGTCTATGCACTGGCCAGGTGTCGTTGCGTTGAATTATTGCGGATTTCACGGGGACAAGATCGAGGTGCGGGTGAGAAGTAGACACCGGGTAGAAAAATCGCGGAAAGAGGGCGAGGGGAAAATTGTACGAGGAGTAATGAACATCGGTGTACGAAATTATGGTTGCAGTTATTACAGCGGGCCATTAAGACGTTATTAACACGAAGTGGATAATCGAGCAAAGTCCCATTCACTGCGGTGTCTGGATTTCGGTTCCAGCGGAATTGCAGGGTCGCGAGGGTGAGTGAGTTATGGGACCACCTCGGGCTGTCTTGGAAGAATTCGGAATAAATAAACGGGAGATGGAGTGGTGAGAGAATGTAATTAATGGACGGTGGAGAATGGAAGAATGGAAGGGCGAGAGGTATGTAAATATTTTAATATGGAGAGCAGGGTGTTGTATTACGCTTTGCTGCAACTGTACTAGGTGTATTGAAATGTTTAAATTAACGGGTAAAGTGGAAGTGCTTGCCCCACTCTTACAGGGGGAGTTTGTTGACAATAAATAAGGAAGCTTCAAAGAAACTGCGTTTTCCTCTGTTTATTTATTTCCGCGAATAAAGTTTCGCGGTAATTCTCCCTTCCGAATAATGGATATAGGTATGGAATATATTAAATACCATAAAGAGACGCGAATAAAATAAAGAAGCATTTTGTAGAAATAATTTGCCAGGAAAAATTATTTTTCCTGGAAAACTATCCGTGGCTCGAAAATTATCCCGTAAAGTGGTATAAGCGGGAAAAATATCTGACGGTGTGCAGAAAAATTAAGCACCATGGGCTCTTGGAAACCGAGTGCACAAATTTTCTTCCACCCCGAGCATTCATTTCATTCTCCAAAATCGGACACCCGGCTCGTTCAGCAGCGAGATTTCCTAATTACCGTAAGTAGTGCAACTCAGCCAAACACGCGGCGCGTTTCTTTTTCGCATAGTCGACCGACCATTCCGAGTCTTTAAAAATTCCCTTTAAAACACGTGGACCGTGAACGCGTTGAAATGACCAAACGCCGCAGAGTTCGAACGCTGCCCTGTGATTTCGACGCCTAGAGGAGGAAAGGCGGAAAAACGGGGAAGAAAGGGCAGGCAAAAAGAGGAACGAAGTTCGCCGAGCCTTTAATTCCTTCCGTTATCGTCGAGACACGTACGAAAGAGGTCGAGAAAAAACGGGGAGAGCCTTTAATGCAATTCGCAGCACTCCATTTCGGCCGGAACGTTCCTCCGGGGTGCTTTACGCTCGAGTCCGCCCCTGGCAACCCTTGGCCAAAAATATCTCGGAAGAAACCGTTCGGAGAAAAAAGGCGGCAGGAGAACCCTCTGTCGGGGGTTAACGAGACAATAATTACCGGCTCGCGCGGGGTAGGGGTGAGTTTCTCGCAATTGGATAATGGCCGGATGAAAATTCGGCAAATGTTTGCTAATTAGAGCAACGGGTCACGGATTAAATGGATCCACGGATGAGGGTGTGTATTTTCGCGAATATTTTTCTTTTCCAGCATTGCAGAATACAGTTGCGAACATGGTTCTCGGGATAGCTGTTTCTCGAGGGTGTTTTTCTTTTTGGAGGAAGAGAAATAACAGTAAATTATTAATTGTAATTTACAAGCTCGTGATAATAGACTCATCTACGTGCGACCCTTTAAGAAATTAATTCTCCACACTTGCGATATCGAATCAGCAAATATCAAACAAAGACAGTTGCTCCTTAGGGGTGACATTTCTAAAGGAATATATTAACTAATTACTGAGCAAAATAGATTTAGTAGAGAGAATATACACCCCTATAAAACATCAAGTAGCCAAATTTATGATGTTAAGACATTAAATACCAAAGTTCTCACCCTTAAAATTATTACAGATCTATTCCCTTAAAAAAAGAAAAAAAGAAAAAATATTCCTATAAGCTACTTCACCATACTTCTCGATCTTCAACTGATCCTAATCAAAAAATCAAAAAATCTCGATCACCATTGTATAATCATGCACCTGTTTTCTACAGAATGGTCAGTAAGCTCGCGATTACCTATTCTAATTAATAAATAAAACAGAAATGAAAGAAGATATTCTTTTTGCAACCACTCTAGATCCTTCGTCGACCCAGAAAACTAAAGGTTGCGAAGATCCTCGTGAAAATGAAATATCTTCGAAAGCGAGGATCCCTTTGCCCCATCGCTTCAAAGGGTTCATCCCCTTTAAGCAACCGAGCCAGCCGGTTAACCAACCGCGTAGCTTTGTGTACTTTAGATTGTGGAATTTCAGCGCGATGAAAAGCTTCTCGCGGCAAAGACAAGCCCAGCCTGAGCATTCGCTCTTTACCACGTGTGCCTCAAGAATCATGCGCTGTGGAATGACTAACACCGACGCCGGGCAACGCTTGTTCCGAGGAAACGAAAAACCGACGAGATTCATGGGCCGTTGGAAAGGTGTGGCTTTTCCCATCGAATACCGACGCAGTAATTAAATTTTCCGACTAATAGCGAGGCGCGATGGAATTTTGAGGAACCGCGAGCTGCAAAGGGTGTCGCGCCGCAGTGTGAAGAGAAGTGCCGGAGAATAAGCCGGCATTCGAGATAGAGGCAGAAAGTGAGAAAGTTGCGAAGCTCGATGGAAATTCAATTACTTTTCGTTGGCAGAAAAGGGATTCGAAACATCGGCCTGGATTGCTACGAGTTTAGAACAGTCGCGAGGCTTGAAAGGTTTTTTCCCTGGTCCCTTTGCCGCGACAGAGAGACCGCTTGCTATGATCCGGCATTGTCCCTTTGTGTACCAGGCTGCCTGACCTGAATGATTCGAAAGCGAGTGATAGATCGCATTGTTTTGTAAATAGGTGTTGCGACGGAACCGTCGTAACGTTATCATTGTTTCACCGTGTTAAGGCTTTGTCCCGTTCACCGCTGACGAACAAGGATGACGCGCTCGGTCGTGTTTCACTCGTACAACGTGGCACACGAATAATCTCCATATCCCAGCACCGTAAGAAAATCGATGATATTTACCCACGTGGAGAGCGATATCCGATACGACCTATCTCGAAAAAGAATCTCCGATGGTGCCAAATTCACTCTCCCCTTTATCCCAAAGATACACATGGAACACGAAAACACCCTTTCATACGTACTCAGCTGTAGAGCCTCACGAGACGTCCACAGACCATCCTAACAATCGGCGTATTAACCATCGACACGAGGAAGAATCGTAAGATCCCCATAGCGGAGCCCCAGTCACCGGACCCAAAGAAAACAAGCTCTCCCAGAAAAGAGCACCTTAGAGTCGAAGCTTAGAGAGAACGGGAGCTGCTCACCTTCGTGATGAGATCCTTGGCGCGGCTCTCGAACAGGTGCTCGAGCTTCTGCGTGTCAACAGGTACCGGTGACAGCTCGTCCCATATCATCTTGTTTTTGTCCAGCCTCGACAGTATGATAGGATCATCCCTGACCTCCTTCCAGAACAGCTTCACCGTCTTCTTGCTCTTCTTCGTGAAGGCCGGCGGTGGACTCTTTGGCGTGTTGCTGCTGTCCGTTGCGGTCGGTGACCTCGGCGACTTGAGATTCACGCCGAACATCGGTGGAGGTGCCTGAGGTACGGGTGGCGGTAGCCTCGCACCCAGAGGAGGTGGCGGAGGTGCCCGTGCACCACCGACAGTAGGCACCATGGGTGGCGGAGGCGGTGGGACCCCGTTGGTCACGTTCACGGGTCCAAGAACGTCCACCTCGTCGTCGGAGTTCAGATCGGTGAAGTCCAGGTCGCACAAAGCCAGCGGTCGCTTCAGCTTCTTCACCAGCTCTTCCCAGTGTAGCTCGTTCTCCGATTTCTTCGCTTCCTGCAGCTTAGGCAGGCTGTCTCCCGTCGGGGACTTCAGCACGTCCGCTTTTGACTTCGACTTGGCCAGACCCTCCTTCGCCTTCGAGATCAGACCGCTCATGTCCCCTATCCTGGGTGGAGAAACAGACACGATGTTGGGTTACTGTCAGAGATGTCTAGTGGTGAAGACTTTAATTTCATATTTCGCTTTAAATTTGAAAATGTAGGATTCAATCGTGATACGAGGCTATGTTATCCCCGACTAATTGATAGTCAATGGCTACTCAAAATCTCATTCCATTTTCATATTTTTCTGATCGATAGTATCCATTTTAAAACGGGATTATTAAACGAAATTACGTCTAGAAATTAGGCAAAATCGACTGAAATCAAACGAAATAGAGTGAAACTGGACACAGGACTGAGAAGTTAAATGTTCATTCGATCGAATATTTGATTTCCACTTCAAACATTCGTTCGCATGTCTATCTCAAGATCGAAAATTTGGAATCCAATCGCGTTACGAAAACATATTAATGCAAGGTTTATTTACCGAATTAACGAATGTTTCGTTACGTTTGATATTTCGATTCGTTAATGAAATATTTGATTTCTACCTCAACGTCCTAAAGTACACGGAGGAAATTTCAAATAAAACAAGCAATGGCAAACAAGATTGATCCTCGCCGGGGAAAAAGGAAGCAGTCTCGAGGACGCTGTTCCGCGCGAAAGTCAAAGGTGTGAGGCAAATTACCTGGAAACCTTCTCCTCGACTGGGCTGCTCGGTATAAGATTTTGAGCGGCCAGCTTTTGCGTGAGATCCTTGACGGTTCCTTCCCTCTTCAGCTGTAGAACCACTCGACGATCCTCATCCTCGTCGGTGTGATTACCCTCGTCGCACTCGACACCCTCGTCCGGGCTCTTGCCGTACCATGGTTTCTTCTCTTCGGAGTCGAGCTTGTTCGCGGCATTCATCAACGGCGTCAAGTCCTTCCTGCTGTTCGTCCTGGACAACTTATTCGACGGCGAGTCCGCGTTTCTTTCGTACGAGGTGCCGTTCGTGTAACGCAGCCCGTTCGTCGCATAGGGACCTTCGCCAGCGGGAAATCCGTTCATTTGTTCGTTATTAATCCAGTTATTACTCCCTATGTAGCTATTACTATCTGATTAGATAATTCCTTTGGAATTACGCGCTGAGAGGTTTGCCACTGCGTTACGTTTCACGTTAATTAGAGAGCTTGTCAATTTCAATCCTACCTTTTTGACTGTAACGATACGTCACGCGAGTAGGTATTATAATTACTAGCCATTCATAGTGTAATGATCGAACACCTGAGAATTTTGGAAACGAATTGCTCGATTAATATATAATTTTTTATACCGAGAATAAATTTTCGAGCCTTTGTGGATTCTAAATTTAAGAACTGCACATTGGTGATGGTATTTTGGAGATTCTTGTTCGTCACAAATTTTGTAGACGTTTGGTAGTATCTAGTTTTGAAGTTTGGTACTGGATGTAGAATCTTTCCTGTACTCGATTTATGAATTTTCGAGGAATTGTTTTGAAAGGATTCCTTTCGTGGAATTCCGGAAGAGAGGTAAAATAAATTCGATGAGACAATATTCGATGACGAGGAATTCGAAAATCGAGG